CCCCAAAACCCCAAAACCCCAAAACCCCAATAAGTAAGAATAACCTTAAAAGCAAGATATATGATTTTAGTATTACGTAAGTAATTAATTCTAAAGGATAATATTATATATTAGAGAAAATATCAAACAATATATAAGCAAATGCATTAATTATATTATAGTTCATCTACTGAGATCTTCTAAATTCCTCAGCACTTCTCTGGAGATTCATCAGCACTTGATGAATCGCTGGCGTTGTCAGGTATTTTTTCATGAGATGTAGGTTCAGAACTAAGTTTTTTCTGAATTCTTGCCTTGATTTCTTCCTGCTTTAAATGCTCTACATTGAAGCATTCTCTGCATAGTGGTATGTAGGCCTCAACACCTCCAATCAACTAGATTTGATCACTTAAGCAAGTTCTGAAAGTGAAATATGCATTTTGATTGCATATCTTGCAAATAGCAGCCAATTTCTTGACTTTCTCTGCTTTGGGAATCAAATTGATGATGTTTTCAAAGCCAGTTCTGAGGAAAGTGCCATCTAATGCTGAGATAATAACGACCTTTCCTTCGTTGGATAATTTCTCTGCATACTCAATTACCTAAAATGATGGTTGTTAATTTTCACCAGCGGAAAATATTGTTACTTACATCTGGGAAAAATTGACCTTCGTCAATCCCGATCACGTCGTATTCATCGCCAATTGAAGCTACATCTCCTAGCTTTCTTGCACCAATAGCTCTCATAGTTTGCCTAGAATAAGATATGATATAAAGTAAAAGAAATACTAGTCATGGGTTGCAATTGAATCATCAGAGTATCTAGTATCTCCAGCAAACTTGATTCTTAAGCATTTGCTTCCAGCGATTTCATGTCTCTTGATTCTTCTTAATAACTCTGTGCTCTTGCCTGCAAACATAGGTCCAATAATCAGCTCAATGCGGCCTCTTGGTGGATGATGAGGGGCAGCTAGCAAATTGTTTGATGAGGTGGTAGGGCTGTTCTGGTTAGATCTTTGCATTATTTTTCAAAATACTTTCTAAATAAAATTATTGTTTCCGCGCCAAGCTTTTTAAATTAAAACTCAAGACCCGCATCAATTAACACTGACTTAATTTCAAATTTTTAGTTGTTTGAAATTGACTGGCTATCATGGGGTTTTGGGGTTTTGGGGTTTTGGGGTTTTGGGGTTTTGGGG